CCCATTATTGAAAATTTGTGACGTTTTTTTGTTATAATAAAATCTCTCGACAAGTGATGTGTAGTCATATTTGCGAAACGGTGAAAATACGTTCTAAGATATTTTATTAGGTTGTCCCATAATTAGTGAATCACTTTACATTTATTGTTATTAAAAATCCAAGAAAAATGGTGAAGGCGTGAAACATGTTTTGCGAAGTAGCATCCACATTATCCTACCTGAGCGAATTACTCGGCCCATGTATTAGGTTGTCTCATAAGTAGTGTCGCTTTTTTTCAAACCAAAAAATTTTCATCTAAATCCTCATGCTTTTACATCATGTCATATACCATTCGAAAGAGAATTGTCTGCTCTACAAGATGCTATGTTCCTCTTCCACTCTGTTCAGGGTTTTCAAATTTTAGGCCTGCGAAATGGGAGGTCCAGCCGACAAAAATTGACCAAACCGACAACTAGCTCTAACTTTATTTTCCCTGGGGAGAAATCAATCAATGATGTACCCTCTACTTACTCATGACCTCTTCTAAACATTCCACTCTTAGGTTGCCGAAAAAGCTTTGCCGTGTTTCTTTTCGAATTGGCTGACCGATAAGCCATAGCAATTTTCAAATTAAAATTGTTCCTCGTAAACGCCATTGTTTCATATCAAGTGGTGTTCCTTTTGTGAGCACTTCTTCTGCTCTATTCGCTCATTTGTTTTGTTTTTATGTTTGTTGGGAATTAGTTCGAATTTTAGGTGTTTAGGAATAAGGTGTTTTATCCACGAAAGTGACCGCATTTCTTTGAAAAAAATTATCCCTGAGAAGATGAGAAAATCAACCAGGCGTACATTCCTAACTTAGTCATGACTTGTTCTTTAAATTCTACTAGTTTTTCAATGTCTCGGCTATAAAAAAATTTCGACCTAGATCTCAGGTAATGGTGCTCGACCGTCGAGTTCTGGTTGAAAAACCAGGTCTGGAAATGGAACGACGCGACTTGTTGGGAAACCTAATAGTGTAATGTTTAGAAGAGGTCATGCATAAGTAGAGGGTACATCATTGATTGATTTCTCCCAAGGGAAGATAAAGTTAGAGATAGTTGTCGGTTTGGTCAATTTTTGTCGGCTGGACCTCCCATTTCGCAGGCCTAAAATTTGAAAACCCTGGAACAGAGGTGGAAGAGGAACATAGCATCTTGTAGAGCAGACAATTCTCTTTCGAATGGTATATGACACGATGTAAAAGCATGGGATTTAGATGAAAATTTTTTGGTTGAAAAAAGCGACACTACTTATGAGACAACCTAATACATGATGCCTTCCGTGGCTGATACTTTCAATTTTTCTGGAACCTATTTTTGAGCTCCCTTCTTAATCACTTCTGATTAGGATCTTTCAAACGCCCAACAACATAGAGAATCAACCAGCAGATAGGCGAGGGCACGCTCCCTCAATCCACGGTCTGCTTGTAGTTCACTCTATCGAGAGGTTGGCTTTTTTAGTTGAAGATGACCCACACTCCAACTACCCCTCAACTGGCAATCTCACTGCTGTACCCAGCGCCACTGAGGGTGGATCTGGACAAACTAGTCGCCATTTGCTGGAGCATGTCCGACTTGTTAAAATGATGGAATGTAGACATCTACGTAGAGTTGTAAAGATTTTAAAATATTTAGTTTGTATCTTGTATGCTCTGAGCCCGAAACAGCTCCACACACGATCTGACATCATCATGTTCCTTCTGATCTCTCCTTAGTTCCTTACAGTGATCATCCGGCATATGCATCAGGGTTCTGGACTGGGTGAAGTGTACTAGCAAATCTCCAACAAGCAGCAGCTTAGCATGAAGGGTTCGGGAGTTCTGACAGCAAAAGCCGAACCCCCTTTGAGTCCGACCCTTCCGAGATATTGTATGAGCACGAGAGTGACCTTACGCTGGGAACCGCCGCCCAGTAATACCAGGGTCACTGAAGAAGATCAGCATCTACAGCGCAATGGCGACGCGTTCAATTTGAAAGTAAAGCAAGACAAAGTCTGCTTTTTTCCTGAGGTCGTTCGACCCCACCTTGCAGAGAATATTCATAAAAAATTGGAGACTTCCAGGCTAGCACTTCTTTCACCTCCTATATGTGGCCCTATCCTCGTGTCAACAAAAGACAACTCAGTCTGACCTCTAGCGCTCTTCTCCAGGAAGAAACTTTACGCTAAGTGACATGACCTCAAACTCGACTTCCGATCTTTCTTCGATCAATAGCTCCTGGAATTCTAGAGATAAGACAGCAACTAAATTTCCTTGTTTAGGCAATACATTGTAGATTACAGAGATGTATGTTTGGATGATTCACTAATTATGGGACAACCTAATAATAATTCTGAATCGAGATTTCTCCAGAAATCGAGTATCAAGGTTTTTCGTTATGGGGAAACTATTGGTAATAGCGGCATTTTCCAAAAATGCACAGCAACTTTGGAATAGCAAAAATTTAGGGTGGACCTATAATTATGAAACGCAGTGTATACTTCAGACCAGGGTGAATATCGGTCGAGGAAATCCTCGACAGGGGGTCGTATTTTGTCAGGGTGGGTCATGGGGGGTCGTACTCGTGGGGGTCAGTAACGTCAGTGGCATCGTGGTGCAGATAGGAGGGAGAGGGTGTAGCGCAGCAGAAAACAAGGATATGTGAGAAACATGATATAAATATCTTTGCAGGTTAGTCGCTCCTTCCCTCTACCTTCGATAAGCAAGTATTCGAAAGTATTACAGGGTGGTCCAAAATTATGAGGACCGCGTGCGCGCAGTCATATCCACTTTTTTCCGTATCGCTCCATTTTCATCTCGTTTTCTGTGCACTATGTGAAAGGGTACAATGTCTTCTTCCTAATGAAACCAAATTTCATGAAGTTCTCAAAACTAGTGAAATAACTACTTCACTTTAGTCAGTCCTCAAATTGAACTCACTAGGGGCTCTGGCACGTTACATCTAGCGGCAGTCTAACGTATCAGGGAAGCTCTTATGAGCAACAGTTCAACTCTTCAATAAGTTTGGAACCACCACAGATGGAAAATTCGGGGACTCGAAAGTTACAGTTACCACCAGGATAATTATCAGATGCAGAAACTAGGTCTCCCCTTGTCGACTTTCGTACACCCAAAATGAAAAAATTGATGTGAAAACCCAGCCAGACACTCTAAAGACTCCACTGTATAGAAAGCCACACGAGTAGTCTACTTAGAACTTCTTACAGGACCGAGCACCCAAGAATAAAGCAAAAATCCTCTAAAAAGCGATTTTTCGAGTTCGTTGCTTTCGAAGAATTGTTACAATGGAACCTCCACCTAATAGCTCTAGATTTCTGTATTTCACACCCTGGATGCAAGCGCAAATAAATGCCCACAAAAGTTTGATTCCCTGAAGAAAGGCAGAGCAGAAGGCCTGGAAACATTTGGACACGCCTTAGTTGCGTGCCACCGCACGCGCCATCCCCCTCTCGTGTTAACGGGGGAAGTGGCAGATCTCAATTCTATTCTGGAATTACTTTGAGGTAAGAGTTACAAATACTTCCCAGAAGTTGGTTTGTTCCATCAAGCTACTATGCGTTTTTAACGACACAATGTCTTGGTCCTCATAATTTTGGACCACCCTGTACAAAGAATGAAAGGCATCTTTGCAGAGAACACGGTCACATGTGCACACGCGCTGCGAAAGGCACCTCCTCTATCTACCGCCCGCTCCTTCTCCCTTAATACCTCGTTGAGAATGACACTGTTGTTAGGGACGCTGTCGCAAAAACGACAACCGTGAAGGAAAGGCCCTGGGCAAATGAAGCTGTTCCTCAGGTTATAGGAGTTACGAAATGTGTTTACTACAATACAGCTTCTGTCAACTCATCATATGTATAACACCTTTCAATAGATTCTACAACTTGAGTGGAGGTCGGATGCATGGCCTATACTGAGACGAGATCGGATGATGACGATTGCCCATTTGCCTATACGTTGAGAGAATTTATTTAAATTCCAGGGATGGCAATTCAATAAACAACCTGCCAATGGTGAAGAAGGAAGAGGCTTTCAGGTGGCCAAGATTCTCGAAAGATCCCGACGTAAATATCTCTTCAACTAAAGAATGTAGAAGAAAGCTAAACAGACTGTTAGAAAGCGCAAACCTTCCGCTTTTCAAAACTGTCTTCCCTTAAACTTGAATCGAGTTAGAGAGAATTGCCTTTTGAGTGGCAAAAACTCGCACGAAAAATTTAGCATCATCGACGCTGCCTCGACAAAGTTTGAGAGTGAAAGGGATCGGCGGTTCGGTTTCCCTAGTACTTGTTCGCCAGCTATTCTGAATAGCTTATACTGTTCACACTGCCACGCGGGACTTTTTCCACTGCTCCTAACACTGTACTGATGCACAGCTTTATGACAAATCAATAATCGACCTACAATCTTCCACTTGTGAGGCGAAGGAGCACTTGTGGTTTTTCTCTTTCTAGGCGAACTTGTGAGCACTTGTGGTTGAAGCAGAAACTGCCAGGCTCCTTCTCCTCACCTCCTTTTATACTGTATGGCGAGCATATCTTTTAAGAATCTAACAACATAATCGGCACCCACGAGCTAGAATTTCCACAACATCTCAAAAAGTTACATGAAACGATGAGTCATAAGAAAAATGTAATGCACATCATATTTTTAAATCAATCAAAAACAACAGATTCAATCATCCGGCGGACAAAGTGCTCGAGTTTGTGGTCAGAAAAACGAGCGACTTCGAAAAAATCGTCGACGAGCTCTGCAAAGAGAAGAGAAAAGCTGAAAGGAGGCTGAACGATTCGGATCAAGAGCGTCGTCCGGAGTTGCAGAAAAAACAGCTCCTTCAAATTCTCCGGGAAGAAATGGCTCTGGAGGCCCAATCAACTACGGAGCAGATCAGAAGTCTGAAAGAAAGGGTAAAATCACAGGAGGCTGAAATAGCTCGTCTCAAAGGAATCATCCAGACGAAAGAGCAGCAAGAGAAGGAAAAACCTGGTCCAAGTCGTGTGCAAGTGACAGTTGATGCCTCAGATGGAGCAAAAGGAGGCGCTGCATTGGAACAAGTGCCCATTGAGATGGAAACTGATGAAGATTACTTCGAGAAAATGGTTCAAGAAGTACAAGAGGACGAAGAGATGACGGATACGGAACAAGAAGAAGAAGAACGTGACGGATACGGAACAAGAAGAAGAAGAGCGTGAA